AGCTATACAGTTTCCTGTGATTTTTATTCATTATTTGAATTTTGAGTTACATATAAGACTATAATTTGTGTCTATTTTTGTCAAGGTTGTTTTGACACTGAAGTTTTTCAATCAGATAGTAAATAATTTTAAATAGTATATTCATAGGATTTCAAGATTGGAAAAAGTCAAATGTTAATAAATAAGTAATTACAGAAGTTGGGTGAAACTGAAAACATTTTGATTTATAAAAATATGAATAAAAAGCATATAGCCTTTCTTGACACTGAAATTAATTCTTTATGAAGCAAAATTTGTTCCTAAATAATATGCTAATTATACATATAGTGCTATTTTACTAAAGCAATGATTCTTTTTTCATAGACTTTACAGCATGTGGGGATCATAAAAAATGGACAAATTACACGAAGACATCCTTAAACGTCTACGTTCAAGTATAGTTATTGACGTGGATGTATTTAATGATATAATAAAACCACTGAAATCGGACTACATATTATCTGAAGATGATGTAGCAAGGATCAAAGCTGGTAATTCTAAAGAAGAAAAAGCTGAAATCTTATTAGATATACTTCCAAGGTATATAGTGAAATAAAATTCACGTTTCTATGAAAGAAATAACTTACGAGGATGTGGATGTTAAATAATTACGATGGTATATCTTTTAGTCGGGGAGCAGATGCCTTCGATAAGTTTCGTCAAGCTTTGCGACACCATTATGAATGGATAAGTGAAGATATGGATCGACAAGAGGCGAACGAAAAAACTTTGACTGATGTAAGACGTGTCTGTACACCAAATCTCCCACCACTTTCACCTTTAACTGTGAGTAGGGAACAAAAGGTACGATGCGCGAAATAAATGAAATATTGTATAATTAGTATAGATAGTATACTACGTCATCCATTGCTTACAATTTTGTATGTACATGCATTGAAGTACAAATTAAAATATGCATCAACAATTAAGTTTTTAACATTTTATGTGCATGCTTATGGATATGAATCATGTAAGTTAAAAGATATTGTTCAATATTTTACAATATTGATGTTTTACGCTCTAGATATATAATATTTATATAAAATTAAATTAATTCACTTTAATTATAGATTAAACAGTTAAAAGATTACTTGGAAAAATTGCAACCAAACGAATATGTTGTACTTCATGGAATGAAAGGATTCGGTAAATCATGTTTAACAGCAAGCACTTTGAAGGACACAAAATTCGTAAGAAATACGTTTAATGTAGGTCCTCTTTGTGGAAGATATCAAACAAGGAATAAAATAACGATATAAATTAATTGGTAAATTGCTTTTAGAATGAGATTTACTGGCTCAAATTTGGATACACGTGTTCAGTAGATGAAGAAATATTGATTCAATTAAATAAACTGTATCATCAAGTAAAGAATTTGGAAATGTTACCTGAAACATTAAAACCTGAACCTTTGAAAGATTCGTTAATTCATTTTTTAAAACATTACTTTGCTAAAGAAGGAAATTCTCGTGCATTATTAATTTTGGATGATGTTTGCAATAGTAAAATAATTGAAATATTTGATTTCGGCTGCAAAACGCTAGTAACAACTGCTGATCTAGATATTGTGTTTGATAAGAGGCCTTCCGTCATTGAGGTAATTTATAATCACATATTTTCATCTTCTTATTACAAATACTACGAGTATCCTGTAGCAAATGTGATTGTAATGAAATATGTTCTTGTAGATGAGTGATGGCTTCACAGAAGCAGAAACTTTAGGTCTTTTTGCAAAAGTGTTAGGTACAGAAGTAGATAAACTCCCAGTAGAAGCAAAACTAATTCATTATGAATGCAAAGGGATGCCTCTGTTAATCGCTATGTTTTCTGCTCAGTTTGAAGAATTCAAAGATGATATGAAATTACGATCAAATAAATGGACATACTATTTAAATTCTTTGAAAAATAGAGATGAAAAGAATCGGTACATTTTAAGTATGTTAGAACTTTAATATGTTTAAGTAAAATCATAATTCATTCGGTTTCCACTATTTCCAGTGTCATCAAAAAATTTCTAAAAAAGCAAGAAGCGATATTTAATATATGTATAGAAAATTTATCTGATGAAATGAGGAAACATTATCAAGAATTAGTAATCTTTAGAGAAGATATCAATATAACATCACAGGTAAAACGCTTGACTATTTAAACACTACACAAACATTACAATTCATGTAATGTATTGTTGTGTTCTATTTATTTTATAGACATTAGAAATTCTTTGGGACGAAGAAATCCATCAAGTTGATGAAATGATGCTTGAACTATCTCATAAATCATTAGCTGCCAGACAATGGAACAACGAACTGCGTAGCTACATATATGGTGTACATGATTTATTACTTTGCCATTTGCGAAAAAAATTTTCTAACGATGAATTGACACAAATGCACAAATCATTTATTGAGAAATATCGTAAAAAATGCAATGGTGATTTTTCAAAACTACCAGCAGATAATTACAGTTACTCGTACATTGGACATCACTTAAAAGAAGCAAAATTATATGAAGAATTTCCTAAGATATATTTCAACTTCGATTTTATTCAAGCAACCATAGAGCATAGTGGTTTAACTAACCTGTTAATTGATTTGGATAATTACAGAGAGTACATTACCAGAAATTCTGATCCAGTATTGAAAATGCGTCTAACTGATCTTGAAAAGTTCTTAGAAGAACAAGCAGGTGTCATAGCAAAATGTAGATACAAAAAGTGTCTAGATATAGTACAAATCGCCATGAATCATCCTTATGAAGGATTTGTTAAAGATACTGCCATTAAGCTTGCAAAAGAAAGGACTAAAAGTTTGTATGTTCTTCATGATAAAAGAATGGGACAAATGTACATGCCATGGAGCGAAGAGATGCTGACAGAAATTTGTACGGTTTGTTTTGCACATGATCCAGACCTAATTTTGGTCGGAAATGAAGCTGGCGAAATATTTTTGTGGAATAGTATTTACAAAAGACAACAGATTTTCAATGGACATAACAAGAGTCGAATAAGAAAGATTGTTGTGTCTAGCGATCATGACTGCTTTCTGTCACTAGACGATCATGGTATAATTAAGCTTTTTAGACTTTATAACGATGCAGATTATGATAAAGATCAAATTGTTTTATTAAATCCAAAACAAAAGCAACCTTTTTGGAGAGAAATTTTTACTGGCAAGTATTCTCATGACGATAGCTCAAAAGTGTTCTCTGTTGATAAAGAAATTATATTGGATATGACATTTGCGCAGGATAATAATTATATTGCAGTTTGTACAAACAAGGGTACCATAAAGGTATAAATATTTACGAAAATGAGCCTTTATTATTCTGATCCAATTAAGTAGGATAAAGTGTTACTATTATTTTAGGTCTGGGATCGTAATGGGTGTGTAGTGTCAATTCCTGAACATAATTCTCGCAGGTCAGTTATTTATTATCTATTATATGTTGTATACTGTATTCCGTGCTATTATCTTTAATATAATAACTTTATTAAAATTGTTACAGTCACCTGAAGAGCATAGTATTTTCAGAAGGAAGCAACTTGTTACATATAATGGATGAAACGAATGGAGTTTTAATATCATATCGTAAATATAATTCGGAATATAAGTATCTATCACAGTACAACCCAAATTTGCAAAAGAAGAAGATTATATTCTTCTGTAACGTGCCAGAACAAAATAATTCATTAATCATTGTTACCGAAGATAAAGCTGTATATATAAAATGGTTTCAATTCAGCAACGATCAAATGCACAGCTATAAAAAGCAGATCAGAGCGAGCGTTGAGAACAAAAACACGGTTTTTGTTTGCAGTGCTTTAACATACGATGGCCAGTACTTAATTTTGGCGGATTCTAATGGTTTTATAAACATATGGAAAACCAACGAAGGACTACAACCAATAGCAACGTATAAGAGTCGCGTATCCTCTTTGGATACTTACTGGTTAAAAGAAAAAGGATACCACATTATCTGTGGTAGCGAAAACCAGTTGCTTCACAAGTGGAAACTTCCAGTAGAAGGAATTTGCAAATCGATGAAAAAACCATTATTTGATGCAGCTGTGCAGCCATTATATGAACCTGATACTATTATTACAGAGACATTCGCGAATACTGTTGTTACATTAGTTGGCGATACGATAATAGCAGAATCTAAACCATTTAATGGAAAGTTAAATAACTTGGTTATTTCATCGGATAAATCGAAAATAGTATTCGTTACAGATGAAGATGTAGTTGCCTTATTTGATATTGACCGAAAGGAAACTATAAACATCTTGAAAAATGCAGAATTAATAAAAATGGCTAAAATACAAAACAATAATGTAATAATCTGTCGAGAAAAGGATGACAATTTGAGGGTAAGAAATTTTCTAGGCTAACAAACCATAATAACATTGTTCGTTTGTCACTTTTTTATTTAATTATTTATAGATATGGCAAAACATAGATATATCATACTTGGTTGAAAATACAGGATTCGTTATTTCAATTCATGAAATAAATGAAAAATGTGTTGTAACAGTAACAAGAAGTGGTATAATCACGATCTGGAATATAAATGGTACAAATTGGTTACGGATAGATAGAGTAAGCATCGGAGGCTTGGACATGATCACCACATTCAGTTGTTTAAGTTACGAAAAGAATATCTTGGCTTTGCTGAATGAAAATGGGGATGTAGTTTTATATAAACTGCAAGAAGATACAATAACGCTACCAGTATCTATAAAATTAACCAATTACTTTATGAAGAAGTATAAGCAGAAATTAACGTGTTGTGAAATTTCACAGAAAGAAGAATATTTGGCTATTGGTTGTGAAAGTGGAGATATTTTTGTAAGCTATAATTGAACATTTGTTTTTACTTGGAAAGATATGAAAAAAATGTCATAATGTCGTATTTTATTATTGATTTTCAGATCATTAATATAAATTTGGGAATGGAAGTACATAAATTATGTTTTCATACAACTCCTATTACACAATTGTACTGGGCACCTTCTGCAATCAACGTCCCTATTTTGCTCTCTGTAAATTCTGACGAACTAGTTTGGTGGAACATTGCCTTGGACACGCATAAGGATAAGCAAAATACGAGAAGACATGAAAATATGCGTCGTAGCACTAGTTTTACATTAGACAACAGAAGTTCAATTAATCATTCGCATATGTCTTCTAGTCAAAGTGCAGACTTGAATATCTACAGTGCGCAACGACCCTTAGAAGATATTCACGAGACCCTTACTATCACGAATGGAGTATCTACCGTAAGTAAGTACTGGAAGCTCAAAGAAGGTAAAGATCCAAAGCAACCGGCACTATTAGCTGTAGTGGAATTACCATCGAATTTTCTTGCAAAAGTCTGTGTATCTACAGATTTCACAAAATTTGTAACAGTTGACATGTATGGGTCAATTAGCACCTTTTCAATATATGGATACAATTAATAATAGCTGTCCTAAGTCATAATTCTTACAATATTATCAAGAATACACAATTGTTTCGTAATGTTCCTTTATGATCGAACAGAGACGTCATAAAGTTTGTAAATGATACAGGCACAGCTATTATTAAATCAAAGTGAATCCAATTTAAGTTAAAGAATAAGTAAATTATTATACAACTATTATCGACTGATGCTCAAAAGACTACTTAGAAAAAATATGTACACTTCATAACAGTACCACAAGCTGCCACTTGCATTTACCAGTAAATGAAAGGATCTC